GACAACCATTTAAATCAAGCTCAACATACAAAATTAAAGAGTCTGGAAAGAGTTCATTCAGCAACCATAATCTAATTCTTACCTGGTAGATTTTAACTTTTGAAGGAATTTACCAACTAACAGGTTAAGAGCATCTTCAAAATTTGTATTTCTAGTTGGGGTAAGAACACAGTAAAAAGCCAAACCCAATTAAAAACACTTCACTTAGCTTTTCCCAAAAGTTTTCAACTGTTCACAGGAACTGTATTATCAAACCTATACACTTAAAATGTCCCTATTAACATATCATCAATACTCATACATGCTTCCAAAGTACATGACCTTTACCCCTACCCAACATAACTGTCATTAAAGGCTAAAAAAACAGAACACACTGAGTATTTTTTTTCAGCCAAGGTGGATCATTGTATGCTCTGCTGCTAATACCTAACCCAAAAAAGAATATTCTTCAGAATAACATTTTCCAACCATTCTTTTCTAGGCTTCCAATATCCTGTTTAACACCCTCTATTTCAAAGAACAACCAGCACTTACTACCTCCTTCCTTTCACAAAGGGCCAAAAAACATACATTTTTATCCAAACCTCAATATTTCCTTCTAATTACAAACTCAGCAAAATTGCCATAAGCATAATTCCATAGGACAATAAGGGTTTTTTAACTAAACTAAGAAGGAGCAAGTCCTTTTAATCTCAACCTCTTTAAATATTTCCTACTTAAGCAAGAAAGGGTCACAGAGAGGCTTTTAATGACCTGGTGGCCCTTTCAGAGGCTCTCGGAATATGACAGACCACGCTCCGACCTCAGGAAGCAGAGGAAGGGCCTGTGGGCAACACCCACGGCGGCCTCCTGAGAAAGGAGGCACAGCAGGTGGCCCTTCTGAACCGGGGGCCACTCAGCAGCTCTCCAGACCCCTGGAGGAGGCCCTGTTCACTTAGATGAGGAAGGAAAAACCAAACCTTTTTTGTTTGTTTACTTCTTTGTACATAATTATAAATATTTTATTAACAACGTGCCTACCTGCACTATATTTACTGAAATTGCCATTACATACATGACTAAGGAGGAATGTTTCTACGCTCCTTTTAGCTTCATTATCCCAAAGTGCCCACTTCTCCTCTTAACGCTTAAGGCCCAAGGCAAACGCAACTGCAACTTTACGATGAAGGAAAATGCCTGTAAGACAGGGCCCCTGCAGCACGCATCCCGCATCCCGCCGGCCCCCGCGGGCCTGCGGCACAGGAGGCAGGCTCACCTGGTGTCCGCTCAGCACCTGGGAAAAGGTCCCGTGAGCAGGGACAGGAACATTCTGAAGCTGGGGAAAGAATGTACTTAGAAGTTTTTACATAAATTCTATTAGGAAAATAACTACTGAATAAAACATAATGAACACTCTAAAAAGAACCTAGTTTGATGGGGACCAAGACAGCTATAAAAATAACTGCAATTAAAGGAAAAATAGTGAATGCCACAAGAGATGAAAAGATCACAGAAGGCTCAACAGGAAGTGCACTAAAGCACATTTTGGGGGTTATCTTAGAATGTAAATTGAGACATACTCAACGTTTATAAAATAAAAGAGTTAAGTTTATAGCATTTTTTAGACCTTCCACTGTTTATTTCATTTAAATTCTGGCTTAAATTCAGATCAATATCAGAGGTAGAAAAAAATACAGAATATGCTCCAATTTTAAGTGAAAATATTCCAAGGAGACAGAGTTCTCCAAACTAAATTTCTCCTAATCCTCACCCAAGGACATGCCTGGAGAGAGAGGGAAATCCATCAGCTGCCCGCCGCACGCGCCCCGACCGGGGCTCAACCCTGCAGCCAGGCACGGCCCTGAGCGCGCAGCGAACAGCAGCCCTTCGCGGCACAGGACGCGCCCAGCCAACCGTGCCACTCCGGCCAGGCTCAAACTAATTTTTACGTCACATGCAATATGCTAAGATTTGTCAATAATGGTAATACAAAGGGTATGTAAGCTAATGTATCTCAACAGGGACAAAGTTGGATGATTAAGAGGTATAGAAATAAATGGACATCATTAGGGAAGATTTGTTCTGAGATTAGGTCTGAGTACATTAAGTGAAAAGCAAATATTACTGGTCACGGCCTCAAGGCAACAAGAGGACAAGTATTAACTTATCAGTCATTTGCTTTATGTAGATGATCTGAAGATCTAAGTCGGCTGGGAAACAACTGTACTAGCTACTGAAGATCACCAAGAATTTAATGACATGCAAATATAGACAAATGCCAGTTCAAACCATGGTGAAAGGACAACGTACTAAGGCATCAAATTATAGATCTAGCATAAGGATGCTGGAAAGGTCCTGACTTCTTGTAATGGAAAGTTAACTGTGCAACAAACACATGCTGAAGAGAATACCACGTACGCAGAAAAATATTACACAATCTCTCTCAACATAAGCAAAACGATGAAGCAGTAAGCACCTGGGAAGGCGCCCCCTCGTAGCCACGTATGTAACAAATAAGACTTACTAATCATCCATTAGAATCACTACCGCACATTTTTTAAATGTACAGGTAAAACCACAATTTTCTTAGTTCCAAATTACAAAACTAGAGATTACAAATATGACGAACTGTTTTTTACCTTAAGTCAAAAGAAAAATTTATATATTGATACTTGAAAAGAAAAAACACAGCATAAGTCTACCAAAGACTCCGTAGAAAATTCAGATAGGTAAAAAGTAGATTTCACAGTACCATAGTATCCATCCACTGAGCCAGCTGGAGAACTAAAATATTTAGTAACAAATGGAACACTAAAAACCTGTCGTATTAGAGCCACACTGAATACCAACAAATCTTTCCCCCAAACTATAATTACCTTAACTGTGTACAACATATCAATGTAACATCCACATAAATAAAAACATTTTGTAAACTTCATATAGAAACTTTCTACATTAACAAAGCCCACTGAAAGAAAAAGTGGCGTACTCCCAATTCATTTAAATAAAACCAATTTTCATCTTAACAGATGGGGGCAGGGGATTATGTGCACCAGCTGATCTATATATAGCTTCTCCTTCACTCAGTGACTGGTAGGTTCTTCTATAAACTCACTATAAAACCTGAATGCTCTCTAAAAAAAAGATTATTGAAATGTTATTGAGTAAATCAGTATTTTATTTATCTGTAAATTATAAAAACAAAAAGAAAATACCAATTAGCACATTTCTTTTTTAACAGCTTCATAAGAAAGTTTATATTACTAGCAACCTTAAATTCTCTTGGGAAGTAGGCAAGGAAACGGTAAAGGAAGAAAACTAGTCACTAGATGATATGATATGTATACAAATAGGACAACTGAGAAAAATTTAAACTAGCGATGAATATATGGACTCACTTCCTAAAACACTTTTAGTTCCTGTACCAGTAGTAATGAACTTAAAAAGCGCTATCCCGGAGCAGACCTCTTCAGCCAGTTTTCTGGAACTCCCAGCCTTCATCCCCCCTGCTGCGGTCAGCTCAAGGCCAACTCCCCATTCCCCTGCGGCGGAGGAGCCCCGCCCCGAGAGCGGGCATGGAGAAAGCAGCACACTGCAAGCTGTTCTTAACCTACACAGAACATCTGCATCAATATGCAACAAAGCCTCCAACCTGTGTATCAGTGTATGTCACAGCCAGTGACAAACCTACAGTTAGGCTTCTCTAAAAACACCTAAAATCTGGTGGGAGGAAGAAACGTGGAACTCACTGTCCATCTGCTTAACAGGAGTCAACTTAAATTCCTAAAACCATGAGCCAATTTCCAAATAGTCAGCAAATGTTCCATTTCTCAACAGTGTTCACACACACACACACACACACACACCCACCCATGCTCTCCAAAGCTGTGATTTACCTGCTCAAGAAAAAGGCTTACAGCATAAAACACAGAATCTATCACCTTTTCATTCCTTCAAAAACCAAATAACTACACAATAAATACTCCACTGTGACTAAAATCATGACCACAATAAACTTCACCCACCGTAGAAATAAAAGCTGTAAAATTTGGGTTTCAGAAACACATGCGTCAGATTCAAAGACACAGGGCACCCTGCCGCCATCACCTACTGTCTTCCCTAAGGCTGCATGTATGGTGCAAGTGGGAGGGGTGTGCCTGCCAAATGTCATGTCTAACATTCACTACAAATGCTGTTCTCAAAAGTTAAGAAGCAACATAGTAAATCTTACTTAATGTAAACATATTTAATATCATGGTTAGCCTGAACTCCCACCTTAAAAATAAAATTTCTTAACAGAGATTAAGCAATAACAATAATTCTTCAAACCAAAACATTTTAACAAGAAAATATAAAATTTTGCACAGATGTATTCTTTTAGTTTATAAGGAAAACCTCATTTAAATTAGGCTTATTAAAAAAGCAAATTAAGCACAGATGAACTATTTATGGGCACCAACATGATACCCTGTAATACAGCCGCTACTCTAATCAATATGTATGTCAGCTACCACACACACAGTACTTGCTGGTGTATAAGCTGCTTTTTCCAATTTTAAACTAAAATACTTTCAGGTGAAAACGATTGGGTGATTTCTCATTACATAAAGTTCTTGAAGGAATTCAAACCACCACTGGATGCTTTATCTCATCAGTTATTCCCCTTGCCTCGTGGGAATTCCTTTACCCTGAACTCTTATGAAGACCCCCTTGGGTCTGTGTCGCTACCAGAAAGCATCAGGCTGCACTACACAAATACCTTTCTGCACACAATCCAGCAGCCAAATAAAACCTTCCAATCAGACTCAGAGACACCTACAAATGAAATAAACTAATCTACGGCTACAAAGCTCCTAAGAATGAAGCCCTAAAAAAAACAACAACAAAAAACCCCACAAATATATCTGAAATCTAGAACTTCTCTCCTAAGCCTTAATGTAAAGTAAAACAAACAGAAACAACAGCTCTTTTTAAAAATCTTTAACTCATGACATTTCCAAATCAGCACATTAATGTCTTACTGGTAAACTTGATGGTCTTTCTTGTTGTATCAAGTTCAAGTCTTCGTGATTCGGTTTCCCAGGAGCCAGAGGAGGTTGAGACCTAGTTCCATAGCCTTCCTGAGACATGTCCTAAAGAAACAAAACATAAAGCACTTCGTAAATATCTCAGTGAGTTGTAAGTTTCTTTAGTAACCAAAATGAAGCAAAGGTTTATCATGAACTATCAACTCATGTTACCTGTAAGCAGACATAAAAGGTTATAGCTATCATTTTTAAATACATATCAAAAGTGAAAACAAAAGACAAGAAAGGCAGTGAGTCAAGAGCACAAACACATATGTAATTAAGAGCTAAATTTATTATGAGACCTAGAAACTAAAAACTGTATTTGAGTTTTGCAGGAAGATAGTCAGTAAAAGATGGGGAAGGAGAGCAGCTATAACCAAACTTCCTTCTAAACCAAAGCAAACCAAAAGCTCATTTTATTGTGTAATTCTGATTTTGGTTGTAATGTTTGATTCTGATTTTGACTGAACTGCATTTAATATTACCTTGGAAGTGTTAAAATAATTAACGAAAACTTTATTATCAACTGACTTTTAATATGCCCTCTCAATAACCCACAAAACAATGTAATTACTAAGTTCATAGTATCCTGGGGTTTCTACAAAACCAATAAACACAGTGCATACAATTCCTTATGTTCACGTGGCATAGTTTCAAAGAACCACAATAAAGAGTAAAACAGCAGCGGGAACAAAACGCACCGAAAACCTGCTGAGGTACCAGAAGCTTATCATTACCATGGCCTTTCTGGCATCCTGTCGAACACTTTTCCAGGATGTGTTCCGCGTGATTTAAGTATTGTGCTGACATGATATTATACAAACCAAATACCACGCCACCCCGACCTTACTATACACCAGCTCTCTCGCTGTTTAACTGTGCATGCTCAGCTACTAAACACTCCTCCACCACACCGCGCCGAAGCCAAGCAGCAGGAGGGAATGCGAAATACTTATTACAGCAGGTCTTAATTGGCACTCAAAGCTGAAGAACCAGTTTCTGACTGAAGAGGGGAAAAAATGGAAAATATCACTTAATGTTCTCTCCCTTTCCCTATCAGTTTAAATGTGTTAGACTTAAAGAAATATGATACACATGTTCTACTTCTCCTGCTAAATCTTCAAAATAATACTTCAAAAATTAACCTTTATTTGAAAAACTTAACGTTTATTAGGTGAAACCCTATAAAAAGCTTCTGCTGCCCCACCCCTTTCTCACACGGTATGCACCGAAAATTACACGGCTTCTTAAGCCAAGAAACTTTGGACCAATAGCTGGTACTACAAAGTACACAAGCTGCACAAACTAGATTTAACCAGCCAAGCATTGGTGAACCTGCCTTGAAACAGGCTCTGAAGAGCAGGCCAAGCCAGCATTTCCCAAGCAACCCTTCTTCCCCTTAAATAAATCTACACACGCACATGCACATGCACACAGACACAGTTAATCAAGATATCTAACCCCTAACAGGAATGCATAATGCCCAGTCAGCAGTCTAGTTTCGTAAGAGAATTAAATCCAAGTTGTCCAGGTTGTTAACCTATAAGTGTTAGGTGAGCACATGCAATCCAAGGATACTTTAAAGAGTAGCTCTTCAATCTGGTTGCCAACATAGGGTAACAATTGGGGGGGGGAGAGGGGGCGGCAAACACTGAAAGATTATCACCTCTCTCGCTGCCCCCTCCCGGAAACACCAGGTTTCTCCGGGATCCCAGGCTCCGCTTGTCACACGGCTTCCTGCTGGGTGCCCTGCAGGGGCCTTTAGATAAACAGGAGGATTTCAAATCAAGGAGGGCACGAGGCCTCCATTCAGGGGCCTTCAACTCCTTAGAAAAATCCCACAAAGGTGCAGGACAGCCTCACAATAGGCAAACAAATGAGCAGATGTTTGCTCCTCAAAAATACATACATTTGTGGCGACACTCAGGCACTGATTTTAGTAAACTTCACTTAAGAAACAGGAACAGGCTCATGAGCCAATGCTTCTTATTAGCCTTTTAAAATTTCTTTTTATTTTCTCTTTGTAGTTCAGTGAACTGATTTTTTAAAAGTTGAAAAAGATCTTTACAACTATAGTGCATACACATTTCAATTTAGATACTGTCCGCTGTGAAATAAGCAACAACACTGCAATTACAGACTGTGAGCTATCAGAAAATTTACTAAGACTTTACATTCACTTTTTAAGGCTTTAAAAGTTCAAGCTGGGTAGATTCCACCAAAGTCTCCTAAACACAAGAGGCTTCCATTATTAAATACAGTTGAAAATAAAACTAAAAAAATTTAGAGAGAACTGGTGAAAATGGGACTTTGTGTTTGAACATAAGCATTAATTTAACTGAGAGAACATCCAGAAAACGTACCCAGTTTTGACCGAAGACAATCACCTACATGCACCTTACATGGGACTATACAGTCTGTGCTTGGCAGCTGTAATAAAGACATAAATTATATCTCCTAACAAAACTGGGCTTTCCTCTCCAGAGCTGTTTTAACTTTCTGGTACCTACTTATTTTCATTTCAAGAGAAGTAAAGTAGGAATAAGAAATTTAATAGACAATGAGAGGGCAATGTCAGCGTCACAGGTAATAAGCTCAGCCTCACATTTCTAAAGCATCACAGCCATCTCTGCTATTCACAAGTTGAAACTAAAGCCACCCACGTGGGCACTGGTGTGCACACACACGACTGCGGTCCCCTGCCAGACACACACAAAGCGTGACTCCAACGGAACGATACTGTGGTGAGTCGGCATCCCTCCCAAGTTCACTTTATGCCGCTTCACTTTTAGCAAAGACCTACATCGGTACCTGTTTTCACTAAAAGAAAAATATCCAAAGAGGACTTTCCCTTTTACAAAAAAAAAGTGAAAAGAGCCCTCAGTGTCTGTTCTGCATGAGCCATTGCAGAGGCCCCACCAGACTTCTTCCCAGGAGCCACACGCGGCACCTCCGCCTCGTCCCAGAGCTCGAGCTGTGTCTGTGAGCAGGTGTGCTTCACCCTGATTTATTCTGTGCACCCGTTAGCAAGATGTGTCCAAACGTAACTGCTGCTCTGCTTTACGCCATTTCGTCTTGCGAAAGGTTTCACAGGAAAGCGCTGCTTTCGGAGGGCGGGGAACCCTGCGCTGCAGTGCAACGGAACTGCGCAGAAGCTGGCTTACCCTTTCAAGGTGCTCTATCAATATGATCTTTCTTCTTCTCACCCCCAAACTTTTAACCATTGATGGATAATGGTTTGGGAGACTGACTCCCAACCGAAGTGTGAAAAGAGCTTTGGGGTGGCGGCGCGTGTACATTTGTTTCAGAAGATTTTGTGGGTGTTTGTTTTTGTGGGTGTTTCTTCTAACAAATGTCCTGGACATTTACTGATTGCCTGGTGTGGACCACTCCCTTTGCTGGTTCTTAACATCGTTCAGGGTGAAACGTGACCGGGAAGCAGCCCTACTGTCCCACTTACACTGCAAGTGGAATGAGATCAAAACTGTCACGTGGGTCCAGTGCAAAGGCCAAGAGCACGAGTGCTTCTGTCTTCTTTAATATAATAAAATGAATTCAGTACTAATGGCAACATGAGACTTTGCAGAAAATGTAGAATAAAATGTCAAGGACACTTTAAATGAGTTAAAAAGAGAAAAACATTCCCATGGTATGAGTTCAAAAGATACAAGATAAACAATGAAAAGACAGACTGCCTCCCCCTCCCCCAGATCACCTCCACAAAGATCACTGCCAACAACTATTCAATGCTGTACATCAAGTATAAATGTGGATTTAAATCCCCTTTCCTTTAAACACAACTAGGACATGTTTTCTGTCTACTGCAGTGCTCATTCTACATCTGCACCTAAATACCCACTTTATTCTGTTTTATGCTACATAGTATTACATTATTTGTCAGTCCTGTGACTTATTTGTAGGGAAAGGCTTTATACAGCACTGTAATAAACATGCCTGTGCATACATCTTCATGTGAAATTCAGGGTGGGGCAAAAGAAGGTTCACAGTTATTTGGATGGAAAATAATACAATTAATAATACAAGAATCAACCGCTTCGTGTACTCATAACTGTAAGCCTACACTGGCCCCACCCTGTACTTCTGTAGCATAAAATCTCCACAAGTGGAATGTCTGCCAAAGGGTTAGGACATTTAAAATTTTCATAGAAAATGTAAAGTGCTCTTCAAGGACGTGTCCATTTACACTCACAGCCCATCACTTTGGAACAAAACAAAGCTTAGTACTAAGGATGTTCACCTTAGCATCATAATATGCCTCACCACACTATAAAATGCAGCAAACCCAGAGCAGGGAAGAGGGTAGACAGTAACCAAAAACCAGTAACAAAGAGACAAACAGACAAATGGCAGTGGTCCTAAGAGGTCAGGGAGGACCAGTTCAGAAGCTGTGGAACACTACCTGTCTTTACATCCTGCAGAGAGCTTCAGATCTACAACAAAAGGACAGGGGCCACGTGGCTTCTGGATCTAGAAATGCGATGAATCTTGTGTTACTTAAGAATCGTTTTTCCAATAATTATATGAAGGACAGATGTGCTAGACAGAGGATGCATATGGGCACTGATCACTGGTGCAATAACGCAGAGTGAGTGTGAGGCTCCGAGTAGCCTTATGACGCCCTCCAGTATCTAGGCCAGAGTAATTCCTTGCTCCCTCTCTCCCGTCTTTGGAAACTCCTCTCATCAATTCCAACTAACAGGGAACAGAAACGGTCCTGGCATGTAAGATGTGGAGGGGAGGCGGAGGATGGGTCACCTCCACAGAGAAACCGCTTCTTGGCCACACAAGGTCACCATGGTCATGTGAAATCATCACTCCATTCAAGAAACAGTGTGCTATCGACTTCTCCATTTTAGTTTGTAGTTAGATAAATTTAAAAGATCCTTTCCATGCAAATGAAAGCAATGGAAATCTATAAAATACCCACTTCAAGAACTATACAATCACCCCCTTCTACCTCAGCAACGCCCTGATGGAAATGTTAACAAGAGCAGCTGGCATATGCAGGCGGGACGCAGTGACAGGGAGTCTGTGCAGTCCAT